ACTCCGTGGAGTGCTTGTCATTTGAATTTATCGCATCATCTCAAAACCCCACTCTACCTACGTGTATAATTTGCCAATACACATTTTTTCAAATGAAAGTACGAAACCAAGGAAACTGATAAGCCATTTAAAGTGTTCATAAGGACGAAGACGGAATGTTGGTGGAGTTTTTCGGTAAGCTGCAGGATATTATCGAAAATATACCAATTTTGAGGGCATTGGTTTCTGACAGGACAAAAAATGGCGAATGGACTTACGGCGTCTTATAAGCTCAGCAAGTTGATTGCCAACATCTGCAGGCCACATGATGTTGGCGAAAATACTATCCTGCCTTCGTTGTCAATAATACTGTCTGACCTGATGAAGATGAATCCACAAGCAACAGTTCAAGTCATAACGCTGAACAACTCAACTACGTCGAGTCGAACAGCTGAGATGGCTCAGAACATAAAAACGACCTTCTTTACTTTACTACAGTTCAGCAAATTTTCATTACAATTAGAGGAATCTACTTTACATGGCGATGCTCTTCTCGCGACAAATGTTTCAACCTTCAATGCTAACAAATTAGTGGAAGAGATGCTGGTTGCCAGGAGAATTAAGGCTCATGCGAAACGCCAGTTTTTGTTTGAGACAATAGCTATCTGACTGTAGACTCTTCCAAACCAAGTACATGTGCAACAGATGGTGCTGCCGCAATGGTTGGAAGATATAAAGGACCTATTACCCATCCAAAAGATGTTCTCCCTTCTTTGCATACAATTCACTGCGTCATTCATCGAGAGCACCTGGTGGCTAAGGACATAGGAGGGCGCCTAAACGATTCAATGTCAACTGTTATAGTAGTATTATTCAACAATATCAAATCGTACCCTTTCAAAATCGTGTTTTCCAACAGTCGTGTGTGTGTGCAAAAGTTAGATTGCTCTCCAAGGGCAACTACACTCGCCATGTTGTTGCACTCTGGTACGCCATCATTACATTGCTTTTGGAACTGGTCATGAAAGAGAACTGTTAACAGCTAGACCAGACGTATTTTATCTGGCTGACGTTTGTGAGAAATGCAACTTATTAAAGAAACTCCTTCGAAGCAACTTGAATAATCTCATCTCGATCAAATAAGCCATTATCGCTCAAAAGTCGGAAATTTCCACATTTCCGAAATCTCACTACATTCACGAAGCAGCTGAAGGATGAAAACTTGATTGTTTATACCAGCCATTTACAACAACTCCAAAAACAAATGGACGACAGATTTCATGACCTGGTTGACATGGAAACCCCAATTCGGATTTTAGATCCATTTGAAGTACAGCACTACAATGTTGATGTCTAATTCGGGAAAGTCTCATAGTGCTTCGAATTGACACACTAGCAATATCCAAATCCACGCAATATAAAAAGGATTTTTGGATAAAGACTTACGCCTTTAATAGATTTCCCAGACCGTAGGAAATAGCTGAAATATATTTCCTTGCTTTTCTATCCACATACTTGTTTGTATGTGGATTCTGTAGAGGGATTTCGCTAACAAAAAATGAAACAGAATGGACATCACCGCAAGAGGTGATATTGTGACTCTCGTTGTCAAATCTGGAGCCGGGCATAAACAACCTTGTTCAGTGATATCAGGCTTAAGATTTGCATTAATATTACGACAGAACAATTGCGAAGACTTTACCACGTAGCTTACACCTACTTTACTTTACTTTAAAGTAATAAAAGGCAATAGTAACTATTAATGATGACTTACATGTAATTAAAACAGGTGGCTTGATGTTGCCGAACTACAAATGTTAGCTTGAGTCTGTGCGAATTCGAATAGATGATTTATGCAAGAAGTAGTGATACTAACTTTAAAAATTTAGCCATCTTAGCAAAATTTACCAATATGACCACTGGAACTCATTGCTTTACGTCTGGCATTGCGGACTGTTGAAATTGTGGTGATCAAGGGTGGGGGGCCATGGGAAATGGAAAGGTTAAACCAGGGATCTCGTCCGAATAAACGTTGTGAATGCCTATTATACACTATGGATTATGTTATTAAAAACCACAGGGAAACGAGTTGCAAAACATGTTTCGGTATGGCCGAGTTTACTTATGGATCGGATAACTCCAACTTCTTTGCTGTTTACAGCAACCACGCGGACATATGTGCGTGGCTCTAATATAAACAATATCCGTGATCTCTTTTAACAGCTGCACTGGCCGTCAGACATTTTTGACAGACTTCTGTTGATGATTGATAATCTGATTGACAATTTACCTAACGCATCGGACAATAGTACTGCCAAGATTTTTATTTCGAAGGCTAGACTCGAAGTTGTGAAGACCTCATGCAGTAAAGAACTTTAATTAGCACGGAAACAGAGTTTATACAATGTGGATAAACTTTAGTTCTTGCCTACTCCAATTGTGTGTATATGTTGATTTTACATTCAAATCAAGTTGGTAGAACATATCTTCCCGTTAGTCCCTATTGTATCATACAAATGACTCGACTAAGTTGACGTTCTAAAGCGGTAAATTTTCTATATACCGAATGTCACCTTAATTGATCTTACTCATCTTTTGATTTTCTGTGTACCCCTCTACGGTGTTCTCATTTGTTGAGGCCATCCTTTACAAACCAGATGCCTCTGTGTTGCAGCTTTCAAGCAGACGGTACGGCAGTGCTTCTGTTTTACAATAAGTAGTCTGAAACTTGTTTAAGGACCAATTGAACTCAGAATAATTTTGGGTTTTAAATTAAGCTCTATACGCTAAAGGGATTATTGTGATTCCTAGGCAAGTTTTACCTGAGCCTATTCTCTGTCACTTATTTGGATGGTGTCGGATGGAAGGGACCAGTTCAACTAAATGCGCGATTTGAGCGACATCACATTTGACTATTCCCGATTTATTTGCAGTATGTATGCTCCATTTATGTTATCATGACAATGAACATAGCATCTGTCAACTAGCTTTAGTCATACGGTAGTCATAAAGCTTCGTACTGAACTCAAGAACTTTGAGCTGACCAGTTCTATTTTAGTGGAACAACCGATGTGCAGAATACGTGAAACCTGGATTTATCACTTGCCCTCGCTCATCCAGGAGGAAGACGGTTTGGTTGACATTCCACCTAACGTGCCGAGCTAGTGCAAGCGATGTTGAGGAATAATGTTTCAGAGACAGAAGCTGTTTGCTCCAATTATTACGCTTCGAACTTCTGTGTTGCCTGCATGGTGTCGCCACCAAAGAGGGGCAATCGTTCGTAGACAAATGTTCTCGAAATGTCCTTGTCGCTTCAGTACTTCCGGGTGAATATGCTGTCTCAGGTCCATACATTCGGACAGAACGAACGATGACATTATACACCCTACCCCTGAATTGAGACGGATATCGCGAAGACGTCACAAAGGTTATAACAATTTGTTATGAAAATTCATCTTTGCAATCACCAACAGCCATGAAACAACTCTCCAAATAGTACAAGTGTCGACCTAAACTAGGCTTTCATTTGCAAATATGAGCGAAGCGCAGACACGTATCAACCTCTAAGCTGTGTTACCAATAGATGGGGCAAAGTATAACTGGTAGTTAGATGCCACAATCACTAAGACATTCAACATGTTCTAGATGGCCTGCGCATCATCCTCCGGTAAAGTCTTGTCATCCGCATGAGCCCAGTTCGCGATATTTTTGCTACGGTGAAGACAATCACTGCAGTTCTAGCCTCCCTTTGGAGCTCGATGGTGAACATCATTAGTAGTAAAGTTGAACAGGGTCGGTGCATACCACGGGTAACAGCAAACGAACAGCAGAGTTTGCTATGAATCTTCACTGAGTACAATGTGTGGCTCCATAGTTCTTTGAGGATTGCAGCAGTTTTATAGGGGTCACGGTTTCTGGGAAGACAACTCACTATTGAATCAAAGGCAGATTTGATGTCGAGGTACGACCAACAGCGTAGAAAATTAACACAGGCTATGTTTGTCTATGTTTGCAACGTGACGCTGACTCCCAGTGTTTAGCAATTTTGGATCCTATGGCTCGTGAAAGAAGGCAGCGACGTTCATGCTGTTATGTTTATCTTGTTTAAGAAAATTCGCATTCAACTAGCAAATTGGAACAAAGTTAACAACGGGAACTACGGGTTTGCGGTTTATCTCGTGATCTGGGAGTATACTTGGCAGTTGTGTTTAGATTACGCTTAGATTACTCCGAGCGCTAGGACCAGGTCCGAAATGGGGTTTTCGATGCTTCTCTATCCCAACATTTTGCCCCATGGTTGCCTTCGTCCTTAGCGAGAGATTCGTGGGCTTTGTTAATACTAGTTTGTAACACCTGCCCTGACAAAGGGAGGGTAGAAATTTCAGCATTTTTTTCACCTTAAACTAGCACTGAACCAGAGCTAACTTATATGCACTTTCCAAAGGGACACGAGGTTGTACCAATAGTATGATTGATTGCTTGAGGTTGTCCATGCATCACCTCTGGAACTGAATTGGCTCGCGAGTTGCACTTTCATGTACAGGAACTACAAGGAATTTACTAAACCTTTTAAAGTGCGTTTCCATATGATGCTACCGAATGACCCAAGTCAATGTACGGAATTGGTTTGCTGGCAAAATAAGTATGCATAGCGTACAGTGCCCACCTTTTAGATTATCGTACTGCTACAACAAACTAGTTGCCCTGCCTTGCAAACGAACGAACAGTCCCGTTGCCACATCGTAAAGGTGAGTTAAGTTAGTCCTAGTAAATGTATATTCATAACATCGGCAGATTTGAGTTGACAAAACATGTAAAGGTAAGTTCCGTGCGTTACTCGGAGCAACCAATTGTTTGATTTGTGTCCCTTAGGATTAGGTTAATAATTTGATTTCCAACTAGTCTCAATTCGCTCTAACTTGGGCTATCACTGCATCTGGAACAAAACATGGTCTACAACAAATTCGTTCCTCAGGCAACGTCTCACAGCCTATCTTCTTCCCTTCGTCCTTTTCAACCAGGTGATATTTTTCGTATATTCAACGCCCCAGTAACTGGAGATGTGTTCCTCGGCGTGGTGATTGCTGGGGGCATACTGGTCCTTGTAACCGATGCGCTTCTGCTTCACCTGCTTGGATTTCATGGATATTTGTGTGAGTTTGAAACTGGAATTTTGTTACATTGGGAGTGAGTCCGATAGACGCCTTACAGGATTCAAATTAACAGACATTAATCTTATATACTACATTGTAGCTTGATTTCGACATGATGGACTTCCATCTGTGACCCGGCAATCTGCTCGTATACTGCGTTCGATCTATAGAAATAAAGCTTCTTTATTCACAGATACAACATCATCGAAGTGACAGAACTGTGCAAACAATTACTTTTTATTTTCCTTATCAGTAACAAATACTCTAAAAATAAGCTAATGGGCTACACTAGTACTTCGCGCTGATATTTCACTGCTTTGCAACTGCAAGTGATTTTGTGCGGACTGTGTTACTGCCAGAGCGTTTGGTATAAGCCGCAGAGCGTTCTTTGATTTCGGAGGTCAAATGCTGAATGCAGACTTCCGAGCCTTTGAAGCACGTTATTTTGGCTAATTCACCATTATTACAGGCTCAGAGCTGTGAAAGCGACTGCTCCCAACAACGGCTGGTGCATTAGCGTGGAATTCCTACGATGATTGTTCCATTATATTCATTGAAATTTGCAGCATAGTATGCAGAAACATCAGCAAGTTACGCGTAGTTCAAGGCTTGCAAACACTCCACTAGGGTTTGAAAAATTATAAACCGGAAGCTGTACATAGTAAGATGTCTCAGCATATTGAGCACTTGCACCAGAACCAAAGTGGCTTATCTTGACCAAACTTTTGCTGTTGTCTTCGATTAATATACCGTTGAAGAGGCAGTGCGCTTTGCATTGTTTATACAGGCTTGTTGGGTTCACTACTCGGGGCCGGACTTCACGATCGACGGATGCATCCATGACTAACTGTACGTCCAGATTGGATCTTCTACAGTGGGTTTGGTTGGTTCACTTAGCTGGATTGTCGTAGCAATGGCAAAGTATCTAGCAAGCACTGACCACTCTCAGTTCTCATGCGCCATCAAAAAGCCAACGTCCTCAGTCTACTCGAAGTCGTTATCATAGGTCGATAGCTGCCCCATCACTGAAAGCAAATGCACCTGACCTTAACTCTGAACCTATGCTTGCAGTTTGAAGCACACCTACCGGCCACTAATCAATATCCTATGAACAAGTTTGTTAAAACATTATTAGTTGCTTATCCATAGATGAAAAATTTGCACGAAATAATCAAATCGGTTCGCAAAACGCCTTGTGCTACTAAGGATTATAAGGAGGAGCACATTTTGAGTTAGTGTGCAGTGTGAGATACAATCTTCATAAGTCAGTGGGCAGACGATCGGTCGGCTTTTTCGAATCTTTGGAGACGGTTGGTAGCTTAGCAACATGAATTTTAACTTACACATAATCTATAGATTACCACTGCAATCGTTACTTATATCCACCAGTATAAAATCACATGCGACAACAGCAGGGTTTTTATAGCGCTCTATGTGCATGGCGCGAAATCCATGAATATCAGTTCTGATTGCCCGAGAGGCACGAAGGTAACAATATCAGTTCTCGAATACTACGGGCGGCTAAGGCAGATTAGCAGAACCTCACCAGTTTACGAGTTTAACGATAGAACAATGGTATATAACGAGTAAAAAAGGAACCGCTTAACCCTTCCCGTAGAATAGCGGCGCGAAAAATGGCAATATTAACAATGATTGCGTCAATAAAATTGAGTACACACATGTTAACTTGCGGTGATGTTGACATGATGATACATATAAATCTACCCTGTCAAAATTAGAGAACAGACTGGTTGCATTATGTGACCTTCTAGCTATCACAACTTGCAAAATGAAATAAAATGCAATGTAGCTGACACAGTGCATCACATATCGTTAGATTGGGCGCAGAGGTAAATTATCCTGGTGAGCGCTTCACAGCTGGTACACTCTTAATAAGAAGAAATTGCGACGGCCTTCCGGTTGACTGTACTGGATGGTGAGTGTTGTGGCTCAGTTCCAGCAGCGGGCAACAAATTTGGTTTGGGTTCTTCGAGATTTGATAAACCATTATGATATCCCCTAGCAGGTGCCGATACTGACTGCACTACATTGCTAGGGACTTCAATATGTACTCCTTAACATCATCCAGGTCACGTTGTAAGGAGATCTGGTGATCGTCTTTGCCCTTAATCACTCATCATATATTGACAACGCGGACAAAATCAGGAAATCGGAGGCGATAACTCTTTCAGGGTCGTTTACAAATACCAGAAATACTTGCGTTCCCAGTACAGAACCCTATAGTACGCGGCCTTCCATCTAGCTCATGTTGGAGAGTGATCACGTAAAGCGCACTTGAAGCCTCCGTTGGTGAGGAAAATTACCAAACCAGCCAAATAAAGAATCCCAATTCTACGGCTTTGTAGCCTTTGACGTAGTATACTGTTGTCCGCGCGATCTCATACTTTGGAAAGCCAGATAGGAAACGTCCATCCCGGCCCCATCGTCGGCCGCTTCCAACCAACTATCCCTACCATCAACAAGGTGGTGGAACCTGATCGGTGTCGGCGAAAGCAATGCTGCTCCGATGCCATGAAGTTGCATTATTCCATCTAGTCCACTGAAGTCTCCGGGGATACAGCTTCAATCCTCTTAGAGAACAGAACTAGGTGAGTCACTAGACGATAATTTGCAAAGCCTGGACGGTATTTGACTTTAAATGTAGGTGATGCCCGCTTTCACATAGTCGGGATTTGTTGGTTATAGAAGCAACTTTGCAAGAGCCATGACAGTGGCTCAGCTGGTTTAGTAGTCACAACCTCTAGCGCTTTCGGACTAATGTTGCTGCCTCCCGGCTAGCTTTGGGCTCGCAGTGAGAACAATATCTTTAGCATATTTGTCGAATTAAAGATTATAGGTGTAGCTGCTGTAGTCGGTAAAGTGAATGACAGGGAAAAGTTACAGGTTCGAGAGTATGGTGTCCACGGAGCTTTAAGTGCTTTGTCTGCTTTGGTGCCTTTCCGTCGGTTGTGAAAAGTGATGGTGTAATAGCTTTGCCTTACAAAGGCTGTTGACACACCTCTACAGTGTCTTGCCTTTGACCTGAGACGTTCTGGCTAGGCATTGCTTATAGGCGACTGTGTTCCTAGACAAGTGTAGTCTAATGGTTATGGTGAGTCAGTAACTTTCTTCAGATTTCGGGATCAGGTTTGGTCATATAGCCCCGCTATGCTCATTCCTTATTTCTATGCAATTTTTGGTCCTATTTTTGACCATTGATTGTGTGTCGACTCCCTGGGTAAGATTGAACGCCCAGTACGATGCACCTTAATAGCACAAAAGCGAAAGCCACAGCACAAGGTGTACGGACACAGTGAACTCAAGACTGGACGAAACATAGAGGAAAACGCACCAGCCCCAGTTGTCTTACAGCTGAATACACATTCAGTTTAATAGGATCCCCGTGGACCGACTGGTGTGAGTTTGTGTGAAACAGACCACAGGAATAAATGTTTTACAACACAAAATTAGCGGGCACGGGTTGTCAAGATAAAGGCAATTTTCCTGATACCAACCAGTTTACGCCACATGAACCTTTCGCTGCTCTGCGTGTAGGTTAACAAGTCTACGTCTTCATCTCGCAAAATGAAGTGTTGCTCATAACAACGTTTGTGTGGGTCTACCTGTAAACGTTTATTCGGCCTCCGGATCCCATCAGTTCAACCCTTTGTGGCAAATTCATTTATCCCAAAACGGTTGCGCATACCATGTCAGACACGAGCGAAGTTCTGGGCTGTATGTCGATACTGTTCAGGAGAAGAATAAGTGATAGGGATCTGTTATTTGTACTCTCACGGATAATAGTTAGCCCCATTTGATGTGCTTGTCTGCTCGAGTTTAAATCACACACCCGAACTTTGTAAATCACTTTTCCTATTATGCTCTAAATCGAGCCTGTCGTCCATTGTAGCTTGCCCACGCGATAATCTCTAACCAGGACCTTCTGCCCTAAGTAAAACCTACGTATTTGGATTTTCTCTCGTCAATTGTAATGTCCATCCATTTTTAACTTTCTTTCTACCAGGATAGCACTCATCGGTAGCAGCAGCGAGTTAAAAGTCCGGAATTTTTCTCCTGACAACCACTGCAAGTGATACGTTGTTTAGTACCCGACTATTTATACTTGATTTGTGCATAAGCTGGCAAATATGCAACAAATACTATGTACTTCTCACTTCCCGTATTTTCAGTTACGTCCGTTTGAACATATCAGCATAATGTTCCACTTGTTCATTGGACTGTGGATGGAACGGAGGTGAGAGCAGATGTATTATAGCAACCTGCGTGCAGTATTCAGTAAATTGGACGAAAGTTACTTGCTAAACATTGTGACCACAGCCTCCGGTTTTCCATAGTGGCTGCAAAGTCTTCGCAGTACTTTGGCGGTTGCACCACGGGTTGTGTGCTCCATGCGGAATACTTCAGCGCACTTACTGAAAGAATCCACAACTATGCAAAACTGCTGTCCATCCACATGACCAAAGAAATCGGCATGTAGAAGTTCTCAGAGATTCGTCACTGATGATCAGTAGGATGATTCTGCTTTTTCAGGTGACTTACTGACGTGCGTACATCCCGGACGTCTTCACTAGCTGTTCGACTTCCGCGTCGATAGTTTGTCGATGGGCAAAAGTTCACGCAATCATTTTAACCCTCTCATTAGCAGGATGACCTTGATGCAATTGTCGTTGTATTCTCGGGCGGAATGCCGCAGTAGTGCCGTTAGGTTAAAAGCGAATATCCGTCAACAACCGGCGGTTCATCCTTCCATAGTAATGATTGTGCACCTCACTCGTCAAGTTGTCTTGGCAATCGTGTAGTGTGGTATTTAAACACCTGTTAAATGATTGAATTTCGTATTGATGCTTACTTGCCATTTTGATAGTAATCGGAAGCTTGCTTAGACACTCCATCTGTACTTGGTTTATTTCTGATTCCCAGAAGATCACTGCGACGATGGAGTGATCTCTCTGGGCTACTGATTTTCCAATAACCGTGGA